CCCCAAAACCCCAAAACCCCAAAACCCCACCTCTATATAATAACATTGTGATTTAAATAATAGTTATTTGAAGGGAAATGGAAGCCAAAGTTGAGAGAAAGACGAAGAGGATATATTACAGTCTGTTATCGAAGGGCAAGAGGTTGTCAAGTAGGTTGTGTTGGGGTAGCATGGAGATAGAGAGTTTTGGGGGTTGTATATAAGGGATTGTTATGTTTTTGGAGATTTTGGGAGGGGTTGTACACATATCTTTGGTCCTTGCTTACTGATTAGGATCAATTACGCTCGGATTTGAGGGATTTTGGAATTAAATGAGGTCAAATGAAATTCTTGAGCTGGAATGGGTTAATAATCTCTCCTTTTTGAGTCATTTAGCAATAATATTTCTAGATGAAAGATCTCCAAAAACCGATCATTCTAGTAGACTTAGCTATGATATGGATCAGAGTAACAGAAGGATCTCAGCTATTGACAACTCAGTTAAGTTGATAAAGGAGAAAGGTAATCTGAATTTTTAAAATCTTAGCAAAGGAAATATTTGATTTATGCCCAAAGAATGTGCTAAATGAGAAATCACTGCAATATCTCGTCGAATTGGTAGGAGCAAACTTCTCAACTCGGCTTTTAATGGAAGTGCTAATGGTAAAATGGAGTAATAAAGACACCACTGTTTCAGGAAATATAAACAATAGCTATTCCAAAGACTTACAACCTAAAGAAGAGGTTAAGGAATCGCCAAGGATTGACAAGGAGAGTAGTTCTAACTCAGATGATTACAAAGATACAATCCTTTGGAGCATCTTCGAATTAATGAACTTTGCTAAAACTAAAAGACTCAGAAAGTTTGCGGCCTACTTTTTGTGACATTTCAGCTTCAACAATAGTATTATTCAGAGTAAACTCTGAACTTGCTTTGGCTTTAGCCCGTTGTCAGGTGTTGTAATTCTTAATAATTTCCCTAAGAATCTGAACGAGTTTGGTGATCACGTGTAAGTTATTCTGAGATGTTCTATAAATATTCTAAATTAGCTTGAATCACCTAACTAGGCTGACTCTATATTATAGCAAGGGCAATAAAAACCCAAAAATTATGATCGTAAACTTAATAAAGGTCCTGAAAAATAACTGTGGGAAGCAGTATTCACAATACCTAGAGGTTAAAAGAAAGAAAAAGAAGTTATCATTCTTTTGATACCCAGAATTTAAATCAAATCTTGCGTCATTGAATGATTTCCCAGATCCCTTAGAACACCTGATTGGCTTCTTCGTACCTCAGAAAGTAAGATGAGAGGTGAAATTATAGATAAAATGAGAGAAGGAAGTCCCCCTGATTGACTCTGTTTCTTCAAAGTAAGGGTAGTTATAATTTTAGGAAAAATTATTCGAGTTTTGATCAAACTTATGAGAAAGTAGAGAGCCAAAAGAATAGCTCTAAGAGTAAGAGTAATTGAGTAATATTTAGCTAAAAATTCAAAGAATAAAGCTAAATCTTATGCATCAAAGAGGCTGAAAGAGGAAGTAAAGGTAAACTTAATTGCTAAAATACAAGAGTCAGAGTAGTAAAACTGCGAGGAACACTACTTATAAGCTAAAATCTCAAAATCAGAGGTATTTATGTCTCTTAACTTTACAGGATCAGTCCCTCAACTCACTCTAGCAAAGAATCAAAACCTCTCGAACCTAAAAAGCAAACAATCCCTCCCTCAAGACCCAAGAACCAAAAAACCAAACTTCCCTCTACAAAAGCTTCCAAAACCCGCCCTTCCGTGACTAGTCGTCTCCCCAAAGATATTCAGTCTCGTCAGAACCCTCGTAACCCCAAGTAACACCCTCCATGATCCTTCAGGCACTCAAAATCCCTCTTAAAGCCTTCCCACAAAAAGGCTGCTATTAACATTCAGACTTCAGGAAGAGCTGCTCAGAGAGGCCTTGAAGCTTCCAGCTTCAAGGCCTCTGAGTATTACTACCAGATCACGAATAATATTAATCTTAGTGTGGACTTTAACAAATATATGACGCAGACAACTTTTAGTGATAGGAACCACTCTGCTGGGTCTGACTTCTCCAAGCCATCCGAAGTAGACATCGTCAGGAGGATACATCAGAAGAAACAGAAGTTACAGACTAAGAGGGATCTCGATACTGCTAAGAAAGCAGCCTCTCGGCATATCTCTATTGTGCTAAATCATGGAAAGCCTGACCTTAAGCAGGAGTTTGACATACAGGTCTGTAATAAACAAGATAAGCAGTAAGACATTAGGGATATAAATGAGTTAGGATCTGGGATTTTATTCATTGGATTTATAGAAAAACAAAAAAGAAAAAGAAGTCAATGTCACCCAGAGGTCTAAAGGACTCAATAGCGAAACATAATGAAAAGAAAGTCATCCATTCGGATAAGAAAGTATATAATTTAGAGTTAAATTTAGAAATATAAGAAACCCTCTCCTGTATCAAATTACTCACCAAAGGGGAAGAATAAGGCTGAAAGAAATCAGGTAGCAAGAAGGAAGAAGAAGAACTTAAGTTCAGAGTATACTCTCTCCAAAAATAACTCTAGCATTTCTAAGTACAACACGATTCAGGGAGGTTCATTGATTGATACTAATGAGACTTGAGAGCCTCTTCACCATAATCCTCCTCAGACTCTACTTTCTAAGCCTCGGATGCAGACTAATTCCTTACAACTATCATTGGCTAAGATCGATAGGAATGCTGCTAAATTTGATGCCACCAGTAACAACTACAAAACTGTAAAGAATCCTAAAAGATTCTCAAAGATCCATAAATATCAGAAGGTAAGCCAGAGACTTTAAGAATTAAGAGGGATAATCAGAGTTTAAATTTTTATTTATTGGGGATAAGTTAGAGTAGATTTTCTATATTCTTGGACACAAATTATGGCCGATAGTCTCTCAATCTAGTTTGGCAGGTATGAAAGAATTACAGCGAAGAGATTTTGATATCTTGGCTTTGAGAGGATGGAATAATAATTTATTTTGTGTGATAAGAACTCCCTAGATTCGATTTATGGGAAGTATAATGGAAAAGAGATATCCTCTTTTGTAGCGATAAATATTTCATAATCTTTAGGGAATTATTTAAAATTCCAAAGTATTGCTGAATTAGTTCGAATCAATTAAAATTTAATACCTCATTTTGTTTTTAATCTTAAGAAGTCCAAGATGTTCTTCTTAGCATCGGATCTTTCAAATCCATCTAAATTCCTTTAATCTGAAAATTAATGCATCTTTGCTAGGCACTAAGAAATAGCAACCTGAAAGGACTAAGCTCTAAGAGGTTTCAGGTAACCAAGGGAGCTAAAATGTCAAAGTTTCTTAACAAATCAGACTGAATGGAGGCAGCACTCGAATCAATGACTGAGCAGCCATCATTGATCCCACAGGTAGGATTTTGTTGAAAATATATTGTCAAGAACTTAATTCCATTGACGATGAAGAAGAAAATGCCTTCTAATCTTAGAGGACAGCTCTAAATACAGTTATTGTCAAGGTTCATATTCAATACTTGTTGAATAATTCGGGGTTTTGGGGTTTTGGGGTTTTGGGGTTTTGGGG